GCGCAGTGCTATATAGACAACAATTAATTTATGTAATGTTGCTGAATGGATTTGCAAGCTGATTATAGTTAGAGCTGGTAGGGAAATTTCCAGTGGAAAATGCAGTTTCCACAAAATCTCACAAACATCTCAATTTTGTAAAATGATTTTCCATTAGGAAAATCTAAACCAAATATTTCATTTAGGATCAGCTCAACCTGAGTCAGAATATTTTCTTTTGTTAAACTGCATAAAAGCCTTTTGTTTTGAATTGGTTCAACAAAACATTAAACTGCCTTTCCATATCAGTGCATTGTCTTATGGGAGTTGCATTTCAGGACTACATTCTCTCCACTGGGCCAAGCTCCCTGGAGGACTACATCTTTGATCATGGAATGCGGATTTCCCCCTGACGAAGCTCTGCATGGCACATTATGGGGGATGCCATCCAGCTCCATTGGGAGCCTGGCACCTAAGAGAGAATAGGCACATCAGGCTTCTGAACTACATTCGACACCAAAATAGGAAAATACCATTTAATGTTGAAATGACTCTCAACAAAGCATTTTGGGTCAAATGAAACATCTTAACTTCAGGAATGTCTAAATATTTTGTTCTGACACTTCCTAACTTTTTTTTTTCCATTTCTGTTAAGTGAAATTTTAAAATTTCAGGGTTTTTTTAATCCTGATTTGGGGCAAAAACAATTTAGATTCTGTGAGAGAGGTTAAATAAGGGACACTATACAGACATAGGATCCAACAGTAAATATAGGAACAAAGTGTGCATTTACACCAAACCTCCACAAGTATCAGGAGAACTGCAAGGCACAAGTGCAAAGGCTAAATGCTTTCAGCCACTGAGAAAATGTGGGTAACTACTGCTTTAGGCCCCAATTCATGAAACCACTTAAGCATGTGCTAAAGTTCCACTGGAACTTTATGCACATAAGTACTTTCCTGAATAGGAACAACAGTTATTTTTAACTTTATGGTCTTTTGGAAGCAAACTATAAAATCCTTCCTCTAGATAAGAAATCTTTAAAATTTTGAATAGATTTCATCTGAAAGTTTCTTAAATTCTTCTGCAGTGTCTCACTTTAAGCCAGTCATTAGTACTCATGACCTGTGTTCCCTCTAAGCTGTGTGGTGGGTGGCCACCTAGGAGAGATTCAAGTGCTGCGCAGTCGATTAGCAAAGCATGCACATCCAGCAGTGTGTGGTCAGGTGCCCCTCCCGCCGCTGCTTTGTGGCCACATTGCTCCTGCAGCTGCTCCCAGGACCCTCCTGATGGGTGGGCCGAGTGCAGGGTGCTGATGTCAGGGTGTCCCCCACCCCCTGCCTCTGTACTCCATCTCTGCAGAGCAGGGGAGAGGGGAAAGCCTGGCTCAGGACCTGGAGCTGCTGCAGTCTGAGGTCTGAATGACTTGAGCCTCCGGGCAGTGCCTTTCTTAAAGAGACAGTGCATGGTCTGAGACTTACCCAGCAGTCCGCTCTCTCTCTCTCACACACTCACACTCACTCTCTCTGGGTCTCACACACACATCTCCCAACACATACTGATATTGTTGTTACTTCTTGGTACTTCCTGTAAAGCAATGCACACTGTCTCTGTAACTTTATTCTTTCAAAGTGTGTTATTTTAGTGTCTTGACTGGTCTATGCATTTCATAATTTTTATTTCTTACACTTAAATTTAATTCTTTGAGTAGAGAGTTCTAAAATGCCTAACCTGTCCTGGCTGGAGTGATTATCCCTATGGTAACTTTAAAAAAAATATATATTATATCTAGGTTTCTTTTTTTCTACTGGTGGCGCGTATCCCTCAGTGCACATAACAATTTATTCCGCACATGGATGAAAAAAATTAGAGGGAACATTGCTCGTGACTATTTCTTAGTAGTCAGTTCCTTTCTGCTTTTTTTTTAATTTTCTTTCTCTGCAAGCCATTGCACACCTCTTTGCCACTTTATTTTTATTGATATTCTTTTCTTCAAGTTTCATCCATTGAAACTGGTGAGATGTTAAGTGAACCAGATATCTCCTGCTATAAAACTGTTTAGACTGCTGAGAAAGTGAAGAAACAAATGTATTACTGGCATGTTACAAGAAAGTTGAAAGTAGGCCCAACTTTTGAATTTGTCAATCTTTAAAAAGACACCTCAGAATGTCATGTATGCACACATACATGAATATGCATTGTATACACTGAGACTTATAGGCATACACACCCTAGGTTAATCTGTGGACAATAAAATTGTCTGACACTTTTTATATTAAAAGAGAATTCCATAGGAAAACTCTTTATGCATTTCTCACCACTTCTTCCCCCCCCCCAATCTTGAGCTAGTCAAAACAAAGCACTTTTTAAATTGTCACTACATCAAATTATCCCATTCTGCTTCTCATATCTAGATTAATACCAGATTCTATCAGAGGACACAAATTAAAATTTAGCTTTCAATTTTTTCCTCTCGTTTTAAGATTTTCTTACTTTGAACATCACAGAGGAAGAAAATTCCAAATGTCTTAGTTATAAAAAGGATGACTCGTTTGAGGGGAGATACATCTAATAGTAACACACAGCTGTAGAAGCACAATTGTGGAGATTAAGCAACAGCACAGCTTCCTTTCTTCAGCATTGCAACTTTTTACAGGGATGATTTACAGTGGAATAAAGGAAAGAGGCAAAGTGAATGTTGAGAGAACTGGATACTTAGAATTATTTATTTTATTTGTATTCACTAGTGCAACACAAAGGAAAGAATCTTTACATACAGGTTTTTAACTCAACTTTACAAGCAAATTCCAATATACAGTATTTTCTCTGAATTGGTTTTAAAAAATAAAACTAAGAAAACCAACACTGTAGATATTAAGGAAATTTTTGTAGCTAATACTGAATTTAAGACTTTAAATACCAACACTGGAGTTAACATTGTTTTTATTGTGGTCCTTTAAGTAGGCAGTGAGCAGCTTTACCACAACAGTGATTGAAGTACTCTTGAATTTCCTTGATGGCATGGTTGTAGATTATAAAACTCATGCCTACCAACATGATCATCTATTAAAATCCACTCTCCTTCGTGCCAGCCACTATGATGAGATGAAAAAGAATAGCCCTGGAAGCCCAATTCAAGAGTGGATTTCCATTTTAATGGTATGAGAATGTCCATATTAAGAATATTATGTGCTGTGCAAAAACTCAAACAGTCCCCACCCCACACATGCAATAAACCAGTATATGGATGTCTTATGGTAATGACATGCAAATAACAAAATAAACCACTCAAATGGTATTCAAGTCTTCTAGCTTCTTTACAATAAGTCAGTTAAGACCAGAAATGGACTGCCTTTTACTGATCTATAATACAGTCTAGTTGAACCTCTTTGCAGTCTGATTTTGAATTCTAGAACCATTTTTATATGAACTGTGTGAAAAGACTTTCAGTGGCTATGGTAAATGGTTACTTTCACCAACGCCCTGGGTTAGTATTGCACATGGTTCTTCATTAACATCTCCACAATATACTCTAGGAACATTATTCTCCAAGGGCTAAATATTAGTCCCATGAAAGTTTTGCCATTGACTTCAAATGGGATTAAGGAAGTATCAGCTTGGGGGAGGGGGGGGGAAGAGAAGGGGTCTTTTGAGTTGCATTGGTGTTAAAATTCCATGATTAAAAAAATAAAATCAATACACCATGAAAACGTGCTACAGTATATGGATATTCTTACATGCTAGAGTGTATATTAATTCTGTTAGGTGATATAAAGATATCTTGGAAACAGCAACACTTGCAGGAAAATTAGGTTCAAACAAAAAAGCCACGCACAACAGGAGGCATTTAGATTATTTTAGGCACAACTCCAAGCAATAAAGCTCATTTAAAGTGCAATTTATTTTTTTCTTCTCCTTTTGTGTTTTCACTTGTTAAAATATGCAATTTGTCTTTTCTTCTTTATACACACACACTGAACAGTAGTTTAATACTTTTGTGAGTACTGCACAAAAGAATGTCAAACCTGAAACAGATGGAAAAAAGTCAGCAATAACCAATTTTAGAAGCCTAAAAAAAAGTTCAGATACATCTAACCCTTAATTTTATTCATTTAGAATCATCTACACCACTACTGATGAAACATCTCCATCTTTAAATAAAGTAGCTTCTTCCATTTCAGACCTGAAGAGTTCCATACAGCACCAGCATTTTTTTTTCTTTCATAGGAGTGAGACTTCAGTTTCACCTCATTACCTCTCTTCCAGTTGTTCATCAACTAACAAGCTTTACCTCATACTCTAGACTTTCTGTACATACACTGGAACCATCCTTGGTAAAGTCATGATAGTAGCAGAAATATGTACTTATGTTTAGGTGAATGAATGTTTAGCAGAATTTCAACTCAACACAACTACAATTTAGATTAGCATCATGGTCTTTTACATGTAGCAACTCTGCTACCCATGGCTCCATTTCTTATTTACTAGTCTGTTAGGATAAAAAAGGGAGTGTGTGTGTGTGTGTATATATTTTTCACATCAAAGAATATATGTTACTAAAGTTTCTATAGAAACAGCAAGAACCACAACAAATTTTCTTAAACCATTTTGTATTTCTATGAAAACCTTGATGGGCTCTTTTCTTTGTAACTTAATCAGTGAAGGTGCCGATTTTAAAAAAAATCAAATTATTTTATTTTACTATTTCTTTAAAAATAAATCAGATTGGGGGAAGGGAGGAAGAAAAGGGGAGTGAGAGAACCCACTCTGAAATCTCTCTACACCAACAGCATTCCTTTAAATGAAAATAGTCTCTCCATAGACAAACTGTATACAATTAAAAATAAAATCACCTTTCCTTTAAGGAAAGTCAACTTTCAAAATTTCCATAAAAATCTATACAGACCTGAAAATGAATCAAGAACCTGACTTTCATCAGCAGTTTTCAAACTCTGGAGAAACATAGTCGACTGTCAGGAGTTAATTTTATGAATATATATATATATATACACACACACACACACACTCAAAATCAGTTTTATTTACTCCTCACATATTAAGGCCTACTCTGCTTCTGGACAGCAAACAGGATATTCAGGGCCTTTCTAGAAAAAAAAATCAATCATAACAGTAGTGTTGTGAGACTTATTTTGATCAATCTATGTAACTACTGCAATATTAATGCTAAGTAGATTTTTTTTAATATGAATTAACAAAAAACATGGTTGTTTTATTTCAGAATTGTATAACCAGATGTGAAATGAACAGATTAAACGAAGTGTACTTATGGATTTCTTTCACCTCACTGCTGATTAAAAGAGAACAATGTGAGCATTTTGCTTGCGTTGTTCATGTGCCAGCTATTCAAAAGTTTAGGTCACTTATTTTTTCACTGGGAATAGCCAATCTTAGCTTAAGAAGGGCCAAAGTTTATTATTGAAGATTCCTGTGGATGTATACATATACAATATATTCCCTGGAAAAGTGTACTGTAATACATCTTCCTTCAGCAAAGGCCTAAAACACAGTGTTACTGTGTGTTGTTTCTTTGTTTTGTTACACATTGGAGAGTAAGTTTTTGAAAATACTAATTCTGACAGTGTTCTGCTGCTTGAGTCTCAGATACATAACAACTGAGGAAAACAAGATGCTATGATTTTGTGGGATACAAGGGTAAATTTTTGGAACACTTTGCTGGATATGCACTTAATCTATAGTGTGTGCATTTACAAACTTTATGCCCCCACGGCTGCCACCTGACAGACAAATATTTGAAGACCACCTTCAGAGAGAATACCTACCCAGAGAGAGCAGAAATATCTTTCCTTATTTTATTTACCCACCGAGTTCCTTCCCAGGAAAAAAAAAAATAATAAAGTACCCTTCTCTGAAATACTCAGAATACCAGCTCTGATTAGGACATCATAGGATTGCTCAAAGCAAAGTTGTGGGTTTTAGTAAAAAGTCGTTTAAAAAAAAAAAAAAAGTTTTATGTAAAATAATTTCAAATCCCTACGTATACAGCCAAGTTTTGTGCAAACATTTCAAGTCGGATACTTCAGAGTCTTCCAATAGTAAACAGGAAGTCAATAAATACAAAAATACTACAATAAAGTTAAAAGTTCTTAATTAAAATGTATGTTGTGAAACTCTCAGCACAGGTGTCATGGACCCTGTATCTCCAAGACTCATTACGCACCATCTCAGAAGCACCTGCATTAGCAGGTTTTTGCACAAGTATCCTTAGCACTCTGTTTCAAAAATTTACCCAATAATGGCTATTAAATAACACAAAAGCATACTACACTTTCACTACAATGCATGGATGGATTGACATTTCTGTGCAATAAGAGCCATTTCACCCTGTGAGATCTGCTTGCCATCTGTGAATGATGAAGATGAGCTCAAAAGCAAATAGAGCAACATTCTGATACCTGTAGGAAAACAAATCTAGATTAAAACAACATTAAATACATGTCACTAGAGTCATGGGATAATTTTGATAAATACGAAGATTTTGCATAGGTCTCTGGAATACAGAGTCAAATTATGGCCAGGAAAAGATATGCTAATAGATTAGGTCTCTATATTATTTTCCACTGCTATAAACCTAACTGGTAGTCAGAACCGAAAGATTAGATTAAATAGTGATTTCCCTGTCTGATAGTCCACATTAATAAAAACAAGAAATGATTTCTGCAAGCAACCTGCCCTCCTCAAATGCTTGGCGAAGCACCCTGGAAGAGTGGTTAGTGGTCATCACAGGCTTCAGCATTTGTTAAGTATTAAGAGAGAGAGAAGGGTAATATAATCCAGTTGCTAATGCAGGCCACAGGTGTAATTAAGTATAAACCATTATGTTCTCTTAAGAGAAGCTGCAGAGTTTTTGATAGCATCAACTTCCAAACAGGTCAGATTGGAATAGGCAAATATTAATGACAGATTTCACTTTTAATCTTCATTCAGGATTTGGATAACAAAGCCATAACTAAAGCAGTCAATATGTGATAAGCAATTTATGTCAGATTCATTCCAATGAGACGTGCATATGGATGTCATGTTTTTAATGTGTCTTTGGTTTAGGGAGGCGGGAATGCCGATTAGAGACCAAACTATCCCCAGAACGCAAACTGGTATTCTGATTTTGCACGTTTTCCTTTCTTTGTGCCAGCGGCCTTGGGATGTTAGTCTTGGAATGGGAATTCTGAGGTTCTGAAGATATAAGCATTGGGCTGCTTATTTGTTTAGATTTAACAAAGGAAATAGTTGGTGGGCGAAGTTTAGAAATCCTCTGACTCGGTTTACTCTTTAGGTGTGTCTGACTAGATGTTGGTTGTAGCTGTGTTGCACTACTTGGTGGTGGTAGCTCAGCCTTGGAAGCAGTGGAGCAGTTCGGGGATGATGCAGTATTGGCTACTGTAGGAGGCACTAAAGCATTCTGGTTTGGGGGCTCTGAAGCTCTTAAAGTCTTTGGCTGAGAAGCCTGGTTTGGGGATGAGGGTTGACTTTTCGCAGCTAACTTAGTCTGCACATCTCTAGCATCCATTTGGGTGGGTGTCTGACAAGAAGAGGGAAGAGACTGTAGTGTACTATCTTCATTACTAGCCAGCTCTCCAGGTTCTTTAGCACTCTTTTTAACCTTCAAATTCTCCTCAAAAGGTTCATTCTCATTCAGGTCCTTTATATTTAAACGTTTACACAGTAAAATGTTCAACTCATTCAGGCTATTTGTGTGAGAGCCATTTGCAGCATTTTGATTGTGATGATCGTCGTTTTCATGCAGGCCCTGTTTAGGGTATTCACTGTGGGCCTCGATATGTGGTATTTTTATTAATTTTCCCTGGGCGAGGTCTGTGGAACTGGGAAGGCTGCTGGAAGGCTGTAGTACTTGAGGCTGTTAAAAAGAAAATATATTAACATATTAGACATGGGAAATGTATATAGTTAACATTTTAAACTCAAGATGTGCTGATCTGGTGCTTGACGCTTACATATTCAGTTTTTGTGTTAAGAAGTTAACTTTGTCAAACCAGAGAGATCCATGGGATACATACAAGTGGGACTGGTAAATTATGCACAAAAGAATTATGCCAGCACTAAATTATACATCTCAAAACAAAATGAAAGACAAGGAGAGAAACGTATTGATTGATTTAAAGCAAAGAATATGAAAAAGATTTTGTCAACTAACAATTTTATGTTTTGTTCTTTAATTCTATTACACTGCAGTAACAGAGCCATGTCTGAGTACTGGTAAATTCAGATGCAAGTGCCTTTAATAGCTAATAAAATTTGTTAGATTACATCTATCTTATCTTCTGCCCAGTGCACATTCCAATTAGCTATCCCAAGCCTTTCATCAATTTTAAAGATTTTTAAGAGTAGGTAAGGACTTTACTGGACAAATTTGTGTTTGAAGTGCATTCTAAAGACACCACTTCTAAAGATTTAATTTTCTTGGTGAGCTGAGGACAGAAGACTTGATATAAAGCTTGTCCTAATTAGGTTATTGACTAGATTTATATAGCTGTTTCATCCTAAAGGCCATTCAAATGAACTGATGGAGATACACCATGTAATATCTTTTTGTTGAATGTATTGCATTCATCACCAGATAAGCATGGTTTAATGAAGACTCTACATTTTATCTGAAGGGAGAGTCTAGTATTATAAACAAAAGTATTGCCAGTACCTCTTCTGGGTCATTTCTATTTTTCCTTTGCTCTTCCCTGTAAAAAGACTTCAAAGGTTAATGTGGCATTTTGCTTTTTAAACTAAACTCTTCTGTATGGAAATCAACAAAAACCTCGTCAACCTTGTACACTGATTTTAAAAGAATTGCTCAAGATTCTGTAATTCATAGCATTTTTTCCCCCTAACAAAACCTACCATACTGCACTTTAGCTATTAAAATTCAACATCTGATTTGGATAATTTTCTATTTTTCCTTTGAAGATGGCTTAAACAGAGAAGCAGAAAATCATTCTTCCAAAACACACTTGTTTTTGTCTGATTCTATGTACATAACATGTAGTAATAGTGTCATGCACTATTACAATAAATCAATAAAGCAGGAGCAACATTTCTCATTAGGCTAATTTGACTGAACTTTTTCATCATTATTACACTGAAGATGAGGATTATTTGGGTTTTTTTGCCTTTATTTTTAATACTTGCTCAAACCAAGTAAACACATCGCAAAGAGCAGTTCAGATTGCTACCCAGATTAACAAGCACCTCAGCTTTCATCGGCTTTCTGACATGTACCTGGTAGGCTCACTCTTCCATGGGGTACAGAGCACCTCCACTAGAATTCTCCATAAAGAGCAAATTTAAGGGGGAAAATAGATCAGGAGAATTTACTAATCTAATTCTGATTTACTGGAGATTTTTCCTTTGGATTCACGAACTCCACCTTTAGCCAAGGTTAAGCTAGAGACTGGACCAGTGACAACGACTGACAAAGAGATAAGTGCAGACACACTGAACACAGTGAAAACTGGTACTTTTATAAAGAAGAAAAGTGTGATAAATTGGAGAGAGATAGTAAATTATTTTTCCCTCCACTGATTAACATCACCAAATTTCAGAGGAGTGTAGTAAACTTCGGTATTTTCTTTCCTATCAAGCAATTCTACTACACATACAAAAAGGACGTTTCATAAGCTATTAGCAATTTTTAAATACACAAATTAAAGTTTAAAGAATAAATCCTAGCAAATCTGTCAATTTTTCAATCTTAATGTAATGGATATGGATAGTACCTATACCTCAAACTAAAACCTGTTATTCCAGAGAAGACTTGCACAACGAAGAGGGGATGATGTTAGCCCAAATAATTCACTGTTTTGAGAACCCATTTATAAATTCTAAAAAACTGTTGAGAAAATTCTTGAGCACAGACACAAGTAGTCAGAATAGAACCATTCACAATGCATGTGTGCTGAATAAAGAACCAAAATACTTGAACAAAATTAAGATTTTCTAATCCAATTTAGAGAAAAAACAAAATGATTATTTATGGCACAAAGTATTTGGTCAATGCTTATCATACACAAACAGCTGTTCAAATTTCCCCCCCATTTTTAGTAATAAAGGAAATAAAACCAAATATGTTATGTATGAACATTAAATTACATACATAGCTACCCCAAAAATAATTGATAGTCAAATGTTAATCAAAAAGTGTAGTCTATGAAATGTAACAGTGAAAGGGACAACCTTCATCCCCCACTTAAACTTACATTCTTACAATGTGTGCAGGGCCAGCTCTGGCTTTTTTGCCGCCCCAAGCCACCAAAAAAAAAAAAAAAAAAAAAAAAAAAAAAAAAAAAACGCCCTGCAGCGCGGCTGGAGCCAGGGTGCAGGGGGACTCCCTGCGCTGCAGATGTGCCCTGGCTAGCAGGGGGGAGGGGGAGGAAGCGGGGGGGAGAGAGAGAAGGGGGCCGGCCAGAGCTTCAGCGGGGCACTGCCATGCGGCCCCAACTGCTGCGCCGCCTGCCGGGAGGGCTCCGTGCCGCTCCGGTCGGCTGGGAGGAAAGGATGCAGGCTGCCCTGCTGGGCTTGCTGCAGGGTGCTCCCCTCCTCCACGCTGCCGCCCCCTACAGGACGGCTGGAGCAGAACCAAAAAAAAAAAAAAAGCATCCGTGCCGCCCTAAGATTGGGCGGAATGCCGCCTCGTACAATCTGCCGCCCCAAGCACGAGCTTGCTCGGCTGGTGTCTGAAGCCGGCCGTGAATGTGTGTAAGCATATCTGAAATACTAGTTAGAAACTGACCTTTTACTTATACTGTATCTGGGCTGCCATTTTATAAAATAACACAAAAATATTGCTTAAATTGAGTAATGGCGTGGTAAGCACTTGCATTTGGTATTACAGAAATTGCATGGAAGATATTAGCCAAATGCATAAAGACATACATACCTAAGACATCTTTCATAACCAAAGGATGCCAACAGTTGACCCAAAAGTGGAAAGCAGCATTAGATCTCAGCAAACTATGAATCTTATGACATAGCTTTAGCACAGATGGCTTTGACATCTTCCAGTAAATTTCCAAGTACTAAAAATATGGCCCTCTGTTTAAAATGAATCACAAGGAGCCTAACACTGATCTCACAAATATGACTTCAGTAGTTACTCCTGATTTATACCACTGGAAGATCAGAAGAAGATTGAAATCAGCAATAAATAGTTCATCACAGAAGGGGAGGTTACTTACCTGTAGCTGGAGATTCTTCGAGATGTGTGGTCCCTATCTGTATTCCACTGAGGGTTATGCGCCTGCACCATGCGCCTGGAGCCAGAGCTTTTCAAAGTAGTAGTGTCTGTTGATACGGGCATGCACCCTTGCATTACCTGGTGGTTTCACCCGAGGTGATGAAGGGCGGAGTGGACTACCAGCGTCTCCAGTTCCTTCTCCACTGCAGGTCTACGAGATCCGCAGCACAGAAGGAGGGCGAGTCTGGAATACAGATAGGGACCACATATCTCAGAGAACCTCCAGTTACAGGTCAGTAACCTCTCATTCTTCAAGTGATGATCCCTATTGTATTCCACTGAGTGTGATTAACAAGCAGTACCTAGCTAGGAGAAGAGTGTGAGGAACATGACAGAACTGTGGAACAGAGAACCGCTGCGCCAAATGAGGTGTCCGTTGCAGAATCACGCACTAGAGCATAATGAGAAAAAAGGTGTGTACTGAACTCCACATGGCTGCCTTACGTATGTCCACAATGGGCACATCATAGAGTGCGACAGTAGTTGATGCCTGCACTCTTGTAGAATGGGCCTGTATCCCATCTGGTGGAGACAGTCCTGATAGTTGACAGGAGAGTAACGCACCCTGAAACCCACTTTGAGATTCTCTGGGTGGAGATGGCCTGCCTAAGTCTCTCTATGGCCACGAATATCCTAGGAGACATCCAGAAGGGCTTCATCCGCTGTAGGTAAAAGGCCAGGGCCCTACAGACACTGAGGAAGTGAAGCTGCTGTTCCTCATTTGAGGCATGTGATTTGGGAAAGGAGGTTGGCAAATGTTTGGGTTGGTTGAGGTGGAAGCAGGAAACCACTTTTGGTAGAAATTTGGGATGCAACCACAGCAAAACTTTATCCTTATAAAACACGGTGAAAGAGGGGGTTTGCCATCACGGCTCCCGGTTCGCCAGCCCTCCTTGCAGACTAGGAAAGTGACCATTATGGAAAGAAGAGAAAGGAGGCAGGAGGCTAGGGGTTCAAAGGGAGAGTTCATTAATGACGTAAGGACTAGGTTGAAGTACTTCTGTGGAGCAATAGGCTGGATTGGGAGGCTTTTAGATACCAGGTCCTTCCAGAACCAGGAAGTCAAAGGGTGGGTTAAAATGGAATGACCCTCCACCAGAGGGTGGAAAGCGCTATTAACCACTGCATGCACCCTGCTGGAGTTGAGAGCAAGTCCCGACCCCTTCAGATAGAGGAAACAGTCCAAGAGCATTGGGATGCCAATAGCCTCATGGACAATACCTTTCTGTAGGGCAGGAGATGAAGTGTGCCCACTTAGCTCAGTAGAAAGCAACAGAGTCCTGTGGCACCTTTAAGACTAACCGATGTATTGGAGCATAAGCTTTAGTGGGTGAATACGCATGCGTCTGACAAAGTGGGTATTCACCCACGAAAGCTTATGCTCCAATACATCGGTTAGTCTTAAAGGTGCCACAGGACTCTCGGTTGCTTTTTACAGATCCAGACTAACATGACTACCCCCTCTGATACTTAGCTCAGTAGGATCATCTTCTGTAGTCCTTCCTGCTATTGGAGAGGACCTCACGTACTGCCAACGAACATTTTTGTGCCAGCGGAGGTGTCCATCCAAAAAACCAGGCTGTCAGGTGAAGCGTCTGTGGATCGGGGTGTCT